TTTCCTGAGCTATACTTACTCTGTTTTGAAGCTCAGCTATTTTATTTTTATTTTGATTTATTCTACTACATATAGAAGTAAATAAACTTTCCGTTACTGTTGCAAAATAATCAAGGCAATCGGCTATTTGAATAATAGTTTCTTCTTGTCTTAAATCCGTGGCAATAATTGGTATTTCAAAAATTGGAAAACTACTAGTCATTTTAAGTTTTTTTTTTTTCCTATTGTAACAATTAAAAACTATTGTATTTACGAATAATAGCAAAAACTATTTCTTATTTAACAAAGTTAAAACATAATTTTAAGTAATATTATGTAATAATTGCATTCTAAAACACGAATGAATTAAATCATTTATCAATTAAAGTTTACTTTAAGTTTTCAAAAAACACAACTATCGTGGAAGCAGATAAAAATAATTTTGTAAGCCACGATTAAAAAAATTATTTCGATGTTTCGCACTGAAAAATGGCGCAAAAAAATTCATTTTCATCTAAAAACTAACGTAAACTGTAAATTTTGTACAAAGGAGTAAAATAATACCTAAAAATTACATATCAGACAGATTTTATAAATGTAATTTATATAACTTATAAATTTAATAAATTGTTTTATTGAAAAAAATGGTAGTAAACAAAATACAATACAAACTGTTTAAAAAAAAAAAAAAAATTAATGTAATTGTGGGCATTAATTTTATTAAATATTTACTTTTACAACAAAAAAAAAACATTAACTTGATCTACAAACTACATCTAAGTTAATTGATGCTTAAAATTAATTATTAATAAAAAATTTATTAATTGAATTTGTAATTAGTTTTTAATAATTTTCATTTTAAACAAGTACAAAAACATTTTTACTTCAAATGAAACTTGTTTTAAAATGATAATTTTAATTTTTAACCATTATCCCTGTATGCAAGTACACTAAACATTTACTTGTCTAAGTTTTTAAAAAAAAAAAAAACCTCAAACGACACAAATAAAAATTATTAAAATTATACCCTGAAAATAATATTCAACAAAATTTAATTTATTAATATAATTAGTTTTGTATTTAATAAGACAATAAAATAAAATAAAAAGAAAGAAAGAAAAACTATCAACTGACCACAATTAGACCATAAGGTTTTATTTGTGATTTCATTTTGAATAACAAAACTTATCGGTATTAAAGATTTTTAAAAATAATTCTTATAAGGTAGCTAAATAAATTTAAATTATATTTTTCAATCATAACGAGTTTTGTAATAATTTTTATGATACTAAAAAACCAAATTCATTAACGAACTAGCATACATCATAGGCTTTACATCCGGATGAGGCTGTAATAAAAAAATAATGTTAATTTTGTTTTACTTTTTTTTTTTTTTTTTTAAACTTTTCTTTCGAGGAAATAGTAATAATAATAATAATTTCTTACCACTGAATCATACACTGTGTATTTCGGTTTCATACTTTTTCCTTCCAATGTAATAAAGGCACCTTTATTACCCATTTGATCACTAAAAAAGATTTTTGCAGTATTATTTACAACATAAATGAGAAAAAAAAAAAACAAAAAACAGGAGTTATAGTGAGAAAAAAAGAAAAAGTTACCAGTAATTTGGAGCGGAAAATACGGTGATACATTTTCCATCGTGCGCCTCTTCATAACCGTCATTTTTAACTTCGTGACTTCTAATTATGTAATCCAATTTATTGAATTCTAAAAATTTTTTAGTAACATCAGGTCCGAATTGCACACCAACACCTCTTTTACTTTGAGCTATTCCATTAATTGGTTGAGGATCAGACCAAAGTAAATCGCACATTAAACCTGTAACACAATTTTATTTTAATAATTTAAATACAAATAAAAATAATAATTATCGATGAAAAAAAAATGAATGAGTCAATTAATTACCTTCATCAGGAGGTTGTCGATTTCTGTATATTTTTCTAATATCATCTAAAGAAACGTTTTCTTTTGAAAATAAACCTCCATGCATAACTAAAACTCTGTTATTTATACAATGAGCTAGAGGAAGCCAATTATACACTTCAGTAAAAAACTCTGCCATTTGAGCTGTGTATTTTGATTTTACTTCTCCTTCAAAACCATAAATTTGATTCATAGTTTGACTTTCATGATTTCCTCTTGACATGAAAAAATGATTCGGATAAAGTAGTTTAAAGCCAAATAAGGTAAATATGCATTCAACAGAGAACGATCCTCTGTCAACAAAATCTCCATTAAACAGCTGAAAAATAATTATTTTAATGTTTTTTTTTTTTTTGGAAATAAGTTAATGAGATTGCATGCTTTTTATAAAATGATCTTATAAATTAAATGGACAGTTTAAATTAATTTTAAGTAAACCTTACATATGGATTTTTTTCCGATGGAAGCCCATTTAAATCGAAAATGTTCATTAAATCGTAAAACTGTCCATGTATATCTCCACAAACTGTGAATTTAGCATCTGGCTCGACTGTTATATCGACTAAAGATGGCTGAGCCATAAACAATTGTTTAACATCAACTAAGATCTGATAAAAATGAATACAATAATTAACATCACGTAATTATATAACAAGTTTAAATTAAAAGGAATAAATAAAATAAAAATGATTACATGCCTTGTAGGCATATTTTCTGTGAAGTTTTTTTTGCTCTTTAAAATGTTGCATAAGACAAGTCATAAACTCCAAAGTAACTTTACCATCTTCAAGTTTTGGCCCAGTGTATTCATCTTCAATAACTGATAAAATATTTTCAGAATGAAAATTAATTGCTTGTTACAATTCTCAAAAATTTCTATCTTATTAATTAAATTACCTATACTTTCCAAATCGATTATATCGGCTATACTTTTAGTATCTTCAACGGCGATTGCTTTTTCAAAGGCTATCTTTTTTACAATTTTATTACATTCCATAAATTTCATTTGAGCATCTTTATCATTGGGTTTGGCTTTCTTAACAGTTTCATAATCTTTTAAAGCTAGTTTAAATTTTCCCAATGACATGTATGCTGTAGCTCTTCTATAGTACCCTTTAATGTAATTTTTGTCTAATTCCAATGCTTTTGAAGCATCTTCCAAGGCATAACCAAAACACTCAGTCCTTAAATGAGCCAAACTTCTATTTCCATAATATGCTGCTACTGTAGGGTTCATTTCAATAGCTTTTGTATACATTTCTATTGCTTTTTCATACATTTGTTCTAAAAACAATTTTACATTACTTAAAATTTCCCAGTTACATAAAGTTTCAAAAAATCAAGAATCATGTTGAGTAAGAAAAATTAATTTTCAATATCATGGTTATCATTTTAATCCTTAGGAATATTTATAATGAAAAATTGTAAAAATAAATATTTTAAAGAACAAAATTGATATTTACGATAAAAGCTATTAAAAAGATAAAATAAGATAATATAAAATTTTAGTAAAAAATGTAACGGGAACAAATATGGACAAATGTGTAATGTACCACATGCGTTACATTATTGAGAAAAAAAATAATTAGGGTTTAAAGAAGGGAATAAATTTCTTTAAAATAAGTATTTATCTTTTAAAGGTTTACGTATTACATATTATAAAACCATGTTAATATTCGTAACCAACAATGGTCTGAATCTTACTTTTGAAAAATTCGTTAGCCTCTTTCTTTAAGTTCTCAGCGGTAGTAATTTCGGCCGCATTTGGGCCAGCGCAATTTTCTATTGCCGTACTCATTCTTTAAAATCACAAATACGTTAACAAGTAGTATCAGACAAATCACTATAACAAAAACAAGTGTCCATGTTAAAAAATAAATTTAATACAAACCAGCCGGTTTAAATGACCTTTTGCTGTATTTTGTCGCCACTTAGTTAATATGAAATTTGTCGATAAATGACTTAAC